GCGATGATGATACTTCAACATCCAGTGCGCAGGAACGCTTCTTTGAAGAAGTGAAGGACAAGATCGACCAGAGTATCACCCACGAGGGAGGTGGTGTGAAAGGCCGGTTCCCGTTTGACAACCCGCTCGTGCGTCCGAAGTGTGTCACTTTTCAGCCATCACCAGGTACGCCAGAGGGGTTGTTTTTTTGGGGGGGGGGGTAAATAGCTGCCTATCTATCGTTCTTTTCAGATTAAATCGTCCAGGGAAAATACATCCCATCCCCCGGTAGGCTATTTTTTTTGTCTCGCGTGCCTGATGTTCTGACATATCTACCTCACATTTACGCGCGCCCAGACCTACCGAAACTCGACCGGTTTTATCAGAAGGCGGTATTGGTATGGATACCGGAGTTCTTGTTCCCAGAGCTCCAGGCAGTTCCTTGTCCAGGATGTGGGGGCAAGGGCGCACCTGATGGCTGGAACCCTCAGGGGCCACGCCGGGTGTTCATGGATCACGACGTGGCGTACGTGATGGGGTTTCGGTAAGTTCAGCATGCGACGAAGAGTGTTCGCTCGATAAACTTCATCAGTCATGTTTTCGTGGCATCCGACGAATTCTGGGTTTCTGGTAGATTGGAGTTCGTGTTGTGGTTTTCCGACGATATTGCTCGTGGTGTACGTTTTCTCCCATGCACGTGCAGTTGCAAGTGTGCGAAGCGCGCGGAGTTCAATAAAGGCAAGCAGGAGGCGGAAAAGCGCAAGACGAGCTTCAACGCGTGGGATGCTGGGTGCCTCCGGCGTCTCCCGGAGTACATCTCCAAGGAGTTCCCTTTCCTTCTCACCGAGCGATCGGGCATTGAGATTTGCATGGTGGGTCGGCTTGCAGATGATTTGGTGCGTGGGAAGGGCTTCTCCGCTGCTGCCAAGAACATTCTTCAGGTGAATATGCAGTGTCTCATCTGCAGCGTCTTAAGATAACGGGTTGGTCTGGTCTTGGCTTTCCTAGCCTGTTCAAAACATTTGCGGATGGTACCGCAAACGTTGCTGCGGGAAACGTCGAATCTCATAAGCGCCGACCCGTGCTACAACGAAAACGTGTCGCCCTCGCAATGCTGTTGCAGGCGCATACGACCAAGTTCATGGTGGACCAGCTGAAGTACACCTCTCTGGTCAACACCCGGCGGACCAGCTCGGGCATCTTCCGCTCGGCCAACCTCGCCAAAACTCCGGAGAGGTTCGGCAGCTTTGATGACTCGACAAAGTACGGCGGTGCGGTCCCGTCGGAGCACTATTTGCGGGACGTGAGGCGGTTTTATTTCTCGAAACTCCCCGTGCTGGAGGTGGATAGCGTGGATTGGACCCTGGAGGAGTATCAGCACCGCTTGATGCAGCGCTGGGACGGAGACATTCTGGGTGGGGATGCTTCGTTTAAGTTTGCGAAGATCATCCGGCTCGGGGCAAAGGCGGGCGAGGAGCGCACAAGACCAGTGTACGGCTTCTTCACAGTCTTCAACGAATGTGAGCAGGTGAAAATTTCTCCTGCCTCTGTTTCGTTCAACCATCCCCAAACCCTTCGTGTTGGTGCCATGTTTTCTGGAGCAATCACTGGCAAATTATTCTCGTAGTATGGTGCGCTCATTCTGATGACCCGAAAAACATTTCGTTGTTAAACATGTGTGTCCTTATTTGAAGGTGGTCTGGCAGCGTCTGATGAAGACCGGTGCCTTGAGCGAGCTGGCGGAGGAGTTGAAACTTCTTTTCATGCGATTCGTTCGCAATGACTTCAAGGTTCCTACTCTGTGGAACACACGTAATTTGCGAAATGATTGTAGACTTGCTTCGGTTTTCGAGGTTGTAGACCGGTGTCAGGCCTGCTATTTTCGCAGTGACTTTGCAGTATTGTCTCCTCAATCCTTTCCGGCCCCGTTGCGTGACGCTTCACTTTGTCAGATGACTGCTGTGATGACCGTCAACTGCTGCAACGAATATTACGCGAGTTTGAGGAGGAAACGGGGATCAGGCTTTATCGGGAAGACGAGGTGGACGCCGGAGTTTAGTTTGGAGCTCCTGCCACAGCTGAATATGGAGTTCACCCCTGCCATCGTGTACGACCCGGAGGCGGTAGCCGCTGCCTGCGGCTCCCTCCGTCAGAGCATCAGCCAAAATCGAGTGGAGGGAAAGATGATGTGCGGAGCGGACGCAGAGTGGCAGTTTTCACCTCGTGGGCGGAAACCTGTAGCGACCTTCCAGATTGCGGCTTTGAGGGGGCCGTCGTTCCTCTTCCACCTGCAGAGAGGGAACTCTGGTTTTACGAAGGAAACATTTCCCGCTCCCCTGAAGGCTCTTCTCGAGGACCCCAGCATCATCAAGGTCAGACAACAGCAACAGCACATGCGCGTGAGGGTTCAATGCGATAGATGTTGTATTCCATGCAAGTACTGCTCTTGAAAGGTTGGCACGGCGTATTTTAGCATCCGTCTTGTGAGCGTCTTC